CTCGGGCCTGGCTCGGGCTCAGGCCAGGGCTTCCATGCTTGGAGAAGGAACGGGTACTGGAGACGTACTAAGTACGGGATTACACACCCTACTTCATCTAATGGCCACTATGTACAAGGTTAGTGATCCTATATACATCTGAAGAGCACAACATGCTCACCGGACTGTGTATAGGTTACCGATGTGCCTCAAACCCGCAATTCTTAAATATGTGTGGGTACCGTAAGCCATTAGAACAGCCCCGTATAGGGATAGAATGCATGAGGTTAAATCCACAACAGGTATGGTGTGACTTACCTGTGATTTGAAGTCTGGTTCAGCTCATTTAGCCAGTGCCACAAAGCCCCGGGCCTGCAGGGCCTGGCTCGGGCTTCGGACAACCCAAGCCAGGCCCTGTCCTCAGGCTTGAGTAGGGCTTTGGCCTGGCTCGGGCCTGCTGAAATAGGGCCTGGCCTGGCCTGGCTCGGGCTTGAAGCCAGGCCGGGCACAACACTATACTGGATATGGACGAGAACGACTGACGAACGAACTGAGCGCTCACACGTCTGCATTCGCCAGGTGAAATCTGGTCCTGTAGATATAAATAACAGTTGCATTACATCGCGTTTTGCAAGATCGTAGTATACTGATCTATAAAGTTGTCTATGATAGTCTCCTCCAGACTGAACCGTCTGCTTGCTGGGGGAATGCATAGCCAACTTAGTGTCCACCTCCTACAATCCGGATGCATTCCCACCGCGTTGAAATCTTCAAGCTTCTCAATAAGATCGTACCCGGGAACGGGCTTCGTCGGATGTAATAGCGCCTTTGCGACACCTGGTTTATTAAAGGTTCCCCACCAGGCATGATTCCACGCTCGAGTGCATGCTTCCTGGTCCTTGCATGCGACGTCGTGACGCGGTGCAGGCGGTCCCGCAGCGACCGACTTCCGGTGAGTCTCAATACGCTCCCTGGCACGCATCAGCCCTGACAGGGGACCTAGGCCAATGAGCTCCATGTCTTCGTCCGACATATCGCGGTACGGTAACGCGAACAACTGGCGAACAGCGGGACTAATCCACGCAAGGACACGGTACCGGCGTGCAAGATGGAAGCGGAGAGGGGCCGGGAATGACTTGTAAGTCGACAGTTGATCAATCGCGTACTCTCTAGCATTTTGGATCAGGTAGAATGAGGCGGTTTTCAGGATTGCGACCAGTGATTCAAGGGTTCGCGGCACAGGTGTCCATCTCACAATTGTCTGTAAGTTTTGCGAATACAGTAATCAGGCTGGAAGCTCACTCGTCGAATATAAATGACAGCAATTCATTGAACTCCCCAGCCGTATGAAATGTTGACAATGGTATTGGATAGTCGTCGCATGAACCATCCCTCGGTCGAGCCCTTCCAGTCTCATCCATGATACCAACGAGATCACCCTGTACTGGATGATCGGGTAGCATGGTGTGGAAGAGATCAGATTTGCGTCGGAGCATTTCGCCGTAGAGGCAATACAATGTATCTTCTGACTACAGCTGGATCGGTCAATGTACCCTCTTGCAACACGACAAGCGGTGCTCACCCGCAAAATTACAGAGCCATCTCGGAAGTAATATTGGTCGTGTCGCTTTGCTCTGACTGTATTAGATTGATCGTGCATCATGCGAGACTAATGGTCCAACGACTTTGGCGGCAGCGTCAGGCCAGGCGACAGTTTGCCACAGCAAATAGGACTAAACAATGGCACATTGGCAGTTTCTTGTGCGTCCAAGTCTCTTTCTCTGTACAATGGTTGAAAACTATCCTGGCGCCCTTCCAGCTCTTCCAGACCATCCTCATGCCAGTGCATGGCCTGTGAATGTCCAGACTGCATACGACATTCTATGCGAGCTCTTCGATCGTACTCACACTATTCTTGCTCAAGAAGACGGAGACCCTGTGCAATTACGGCACCTGTCCGAGAAGGTTGTCAATGATTCTGTTGCACTTTTAGAAGGGATGGAACAAGCAGGTGTACCACAAGAATGGATCCATCAGTGTGCCTATAGCCTGGGTCCGTTATCGTACGAGCTGGAAATGGCTGCATTTGCAGCTGAAGGAGTGTATGTATCAGTGTATTGCTCTGCACATGTCAAACTGACTCTATGACTCTATTCCCCCATTCAGCGAACGGAATAAGGTAGCGTTCCTGACTACGGTCGAGGAGGTTCATTCCGGTCATCCTGGACGTCCACGGAAGATTGTGAATCCAGAATATCTCCGGGAAGCTATGTCCGCAAAGCGGAATATTACTAGGAAGGCCTTAGCCGACACACTAGGCATACACCGCAATACCTTGCGGACGAGACTCAAGGAGAACGGTGTTCAGAGGCAGTTTACACAGCTCACTAATGCCGAACTTGACGAGCTGGTAAGAATTTTTAAGTCATTGAAACCGGAATCTGGTCTTCGGTACCTGATTGGATTCCTACGTATGCGAGGACTACGAGTGCAAAGGCGACGTGTCATGCAATCGTTACGGCGCGTCGATTCACTTGGTCAGGCTCTGCGCCGTCGGAAAGCAGTCAAGAGGCGGAAGTATTCGGTGCCCCGGCCGAACTACCTTTGGCACTGCGATGGCCATCATAAACTGATTTGGTGGGGTATAGTGATACATGGCTTCATCGATGGATATTGCCGTACAGTAGAGTATCATTCCTATCTCATTCATGCATACCACAATTCTCATGGTCTTTGCAGGTAACCGGCCTCCATGCCAGCACCAATAACAGGGCAAAGACCGTGCTTGAGGTATTCCTCGAAGCCATCGAGGAATACGGTGTTCCTTCACGGGTCAGAGGAGACAGAGGCGGTGAAAACGTACTCGTGTCAGTTTGGATGATCATGCATCGGGGGCCCAATCGTGCCTCGTTTATGTGGGGATCGTGAGTCCCTGCATTTCGGATATACTCCCACCACTCACTCAAAGCTATGTTATGCTCTCCGTAGCTCCACACGCAACACGCGTATCGAGCGGCTCTGGGTCGAAGTTGGCACCCAGTTCGCAAGACGATGGAGGGCATTCTTTGCCCGTCTAGGTCGATTGCATCGTCTTGATCGCCACAATCCCGCGCATCTATGGCTTTTACATACACTATTTCTGGATGAGATCAATATAGACTGTCGTGCATTCCAGGACGAATGGAACTCACATCCGATTGCGGGCCCCAAAACAAATAATCGCAGTCCAGCAGTGAGCAAATCGTAGCAAGTATTACAATAATCGTACTGACATACTTTGGCTAGGACATGCGCTTCCTCGGCCAAACCGCGGATGGGGTGTATGCCGAGGATCATCTGCGAGACGTCCATCCTGACACTATTGATCGTTACTATGGTGTTGATGGCGAGGTACGGCGTAGAGCTCACGAGACTGGTGCCGGACATGCGAGTGATGAAGACACGGAGAGTGAGGGAACGTCTTCAGGCGCCGAAAGCACAGAATCAGAAGACGAACTAGTCGACCAGATCGTTGCCGACCAGGCCAAGAATATCCGCCATAAACCCGTGAAAGTCCCGAGAAGCCGGAGTCCTTTCTCATCGGCTGCGGATGAAGGAGCGTTTATTGACCTCGTCAATGCAGTTCGTGCCAGAAATATTGTGCCAGCGCACTACGGGCTGCACCCAGAGGAGTGGGACGATGGTGGGTATCCCGAAGAAGAAATTGTTCGAGTAGGGACTAGAGGGAGATCGTTCCAGGTGAAGTTGCCGCATGAGATATGGTATGAGAAGGCTGTGCTATGGGGGCAGGCATTGGATGTTCTCAACCGGTTGCAGGAATCGGACGAGGATTGAACGTATCACGCGGGGATGTTGACTATTGTGTAGCCTTGTGGGTCCCAAGTTCAATGTGCTGGCACGATGTCATATAGTCCCTACATCTACGTCTAGTGCAAGCTTTTATGGCTGGCGGCATGCTCACGATGACTCTTGCTTTGTCTGCCCTCATCAATGTATTCTGCTGTCAATGACAAACGATATCATCCAAACTAATACAGGTTTTGTGTCCAAGTCTCCTCGACTGTCTGAAGCAATCACAGACTCTTGTCTGTCGCTCAGTGTCACACAGCAGTGGTTCCATGGACACACTGGCAGCCCAATGTCATCGGGATAGGCCGGGTGCCTTGGCCGATCGATTCCACCCTGCCACCAAGATTTGTCGCTCGCCCTTGACGTTGTTTTGCTACAATGGACGCTCCGACGACCTGCGGGGGCCAGCACAGCGATGGCAAACCCTGTAAGTGCCCCCGGTTTATGAAGAAGGCAAACCAGAACCCAGACGAACCTCATTACTGCCGTGATTGTGGGCACACGGAGAGCTTGCACCCCGAGAACAAGCCATCAACCGTCCGCGATATCATCCAGTCATACAAGCAGCCTTCCAAGATGGGCTTGAAGCTTTCGCTCAAAGCCACAACTGAACAGGCCGTCCGGGAGACCAACAAGGGTCTAAAAGCATCATCCAAGCGTCCTGTGGAGAGTGACGATGATGAGGGTAATGCCAGTAGAGCGATGAAGGCTCCGAAGGGCCAGAAGAAGCCCAAGGTGTGTATATTCTGCAAGCATCAGAGGATCTTCTAAAAGCACGAACAGAACATACCTCCGGATTCAGAGAAGGCACTCGGGGATAACATGGCAGGCTTAGGGCGTATTATCCTCCTTCCCTTCGGTGTAAGTCGGACTCTTCGTGCAGTTAGTCATGCCAGCAGGACGAGAAATTGATCGGATTTGTCAGGTCCACAAGGTGCAAGGAAAGCCGGAATTGACAAACACACGAGCACCCAAAGAAAATACTTGGGATGACTACGAGGAGTGGCAGCTGTCTCGCACGTATGGCCTGGATGGTGGACCGCTTGCATTCAACAAGTCCTGGACAGCGGCTGAGATTGACAGATGGCTTCGGACGCTCTTCCCCAAGGCGTTCGAGTATGTTGACAGCTCCACAAAGTCGAGCGGCTCAGCTCTCGGGTGGCATTTGGCCCACTCGTTCCATCGGAACCTCACACTATACAGGAAGACCGTAGACGGCGAGGTGCTCGCGCAGCATCGTACTCGGGATGGCAAGAAGTGGAACACACGGGTTCTCTACATTGGTAAGCAGATTGGTTTCTGCGTGTATTTGCAGAGAATCCCACTTACACAACCTTAGCATTGCATAAAGCTATTCCGTATGAGATATATTCGGAATGGGGTGCAGAAACGACCAAGCAGGACGCTGAGGAGGAGGAGGTTGAGATTGAGGATTCTGACAAAGTCGATGCCGAGGTTAATGCATTGGTGTCTGATGGTCGTGCCTCCGAGTCGTCGGATGAGAAGTCGCAAGGTGGCGATCACGCTAGCGTGTCAGATGGTGAACGTGAGCATAGTTCTGACGAGTCCGAGTTTGATATACGAAAGACTCGCAGGCTCACTGCTGTTCAGAAAGGTAGGTGAGACATTGCTCCCCATAACTGATGGATTGCTCACTGCTTTGCAGGCAAGCACAAGGCTTCCACCTCTTCTCCAATTCGTACCCCACTGTTCTCTAAGTCGAAGAAAGGTGTTCTGAAAGGGCCTAGTGAGTATCATACTTGGCGACTGACATCTCCGACTCGGATGCTAAGCTCCTGCACAGTGAAACCACGGCTCGGGAAGCGAACTCGTCCGATCATTTTGGACAGCGAGTCGGAGGGAAGCTCTGATAGTGCTACAACTGACAACTCGGCCGTGAAGGCACTTTCGGTAGCGAAGTCCCCGTCCCCATTCCCCACCGGCGTAACTTCACCCTCTCGGGTGACTACACCGCCGCGAGATCCACCATTGCACGTTGCAGGTTCTAATAGCAATCCGATAGCTGGTTTTAGTACTGTGCCTGTCGCCAGTTCTAGCGCCACAGTTGGACCTAACCTCGACTGGCTGGACGAGCAACGGGATATGGATCGTTTGCTAGCGCCAAGGCTAGGTAACGACTCGCCCGACGGGGGTGCTTTTCTGCAATTCTCGGATGATATTCCACAAGACGGGAAAGCTTGGTGGGAGGACGAGTTACCGGATCTCTAGATACAAAATGCTGTACTATCGAAAGAAACTGAATATAGCATGATGACCGGGTCTGACCGGTCGACATAAGTTGTGCTGCGATGTCACAGAGTCACACCATTAATGTCTTTCCGTTACAGAGAACATCCGGACGCTCACATTCTTTATCAGGACCCTCTCAGAACACCTCTACAAGACACCTCCAGGTGGTTTTGAATCTTAGGTAGACATCCGATGGCCTGGAGCCCACCCGTGACAGGCTGAGAGTCATGTCACACTAGACATACTGATATCAGGCACAACACATTGTATATGCTAGTACTGAGGCTAGTACTGAGAGACTATCGACAATAATGCAGACACAGACACAGACAGGCGCACCAAGACTGATCTATTACAAGTCCGCGAAAAAGCGCGCTGTTGTCTGCCTGAAAAAGCGCGCTGACTCAGAAAAGCGCGCCGAATAATAAATGTGCAGACGGAACGCCATAGTGCTCGTCTGAAGGGGGCAGGCACGCGCCGCTCCTGGGGCAGCCCGAGCTAATTGCGTTCCCCGGTGTCGTTCAGCGGCTTCGGCGTGCAAGAACGGGCGTTGTATTGTGATGCCCGCCGCGAGCCCAAGGGCCCTATAGCCCGCGCGCGAGGGAGGGAGACCATGCGGTCGCCAGGACGCTGCAGAGTCTTGCGCGGGTACGGCGCTCAGTAGGAACCCGAGTACCTGCGTCCGCGTCCGCGTTTGAGGAAGCGCTTGGGTGTAAATGCGCGATTGTGGGTGGTGCGGGAAGTGCTGGTCTTAGTAAGGGCGCTGTCATGAATAACTCGGGGGAACCTGGGTGCAATATGCGCCGATATAGGCTCGTTGGACCCTGCGCCTGCATGCCTGTCGCTGTCAGGAGGTGGTGTGAACGTGATGACCAAGGGGTCTGGGACGATCCGGGGAAAGGCGAGCCAGCCTGGAGGACGCCGGGGTGTGGTTCTGCCTTTGTCTGTAGATGGCAACGAAATCTGTACTCCGCAGTCAGCGCCCGGCAGCGGCACTGAAAGTCGCTTGGACGCGTTGGTGGGAACAGTTCGATTGAATGGATAACGGTGCTTCGTATCAGCTCCCTGCCACAATATGCCAGTGGCAAGTGGTCTCAACCGAGCAAGGCTAGATATCATGCACTTAATGAACGCGTCATCATTTAGAAGACCATCATGGTACAGATGAAATCGTTATCTGTCCGCACCATCCTGGGAGTTGTGCTGTGGTCTGGACTTGATATCGACGTTAGCATGGTATCAAATGCTTATTTTAGCCGAGACAGCAGGAGAGAGTTCGATGCTTACCTGCCTTGGGAGCGCTTCCAGAGGCATCATCCTGCACGGCAAACTATCCATCTGAATCAGAGCTGTAAACACAGGCTCAATCACGCGGATGTTGGATGATGA